TGAAAGATTTAGTATTTAAAGTAATCAAGATACCTTTCCAAATAGACACTTTTCTGTTTGAAAAACTTGAGAGGATGCAATGTATGACCATGCATCTATTGGAGAAAAGGTGTGAAGGATATCTTGAAACCAGTTCAGATTTTTCAAAAGTTACAATGTGTAAGTTGATTAACATAAGATGTAAATCGATTGCACGGGTTTGTAATGTTCGTGTTTTCAAAAAAATTGAAGTTTAAATGGATTAGCATGTTGTGTAAATCGATTTACAAGTGTTAAAAATTCAACTCAGTTCTGTGATCAATCGATTTACAGTTCATGTAAATCGATTGCTGCCAGAGACAATCAGTTTTTGAAAAGGCATGTGTAAATCGATTTACATCAAGTGTTAATCGATTTACATCAGTAGAAAACTTAAAATTTGTTTTAAAATTTAAGTGAAGTGTTGTGGCAAGTGTGTATATCATTTTTGAGCATTTCTAATTAATGTAGTTCAAATGAGAATTGATAGACTTGATTGCTTGCCATGATCCTTGAAGCTTTAAGTGAATGATTCTTTAAGCTAATTCCACTTCTTTTCCTTCTTGCCATAGTGCTTGTTTGTCTTTTATCAAAACTAGCTTGTTTGTCTTTCATCAAAACTAAAGTTGAGTTGAGGCTTGAGATTACAAAACTTTGACTTTTTTTGGTCAGCATTGAATTTCAAAGATCAAGATTCATCAAGATGCTCAAGAATATCAAACTTGATCATCAATAATCAAGAAAGTCAAGAAAGTCCACAAAAAGTCAGAGTTTTCAATAGTTAGAAATTTTCTAAGTGTTTTTACACTTGATAATTTCATTACTTCATCACATTTTTTCACCAAGATGCAAGATGATTCAAAGAAAACTTTCAACATGAAATTTATAAATCTTGATTAATTATTTAAGTTTGTATTAGAGGTTGATGTCCAAAATATGCTTAGATATGAATATATAGGGGTCATGAAGTCATGACATTTTTGTATAAACACTTAGAGAAATTTTCAACAAGTTTGGTCAAATTTTTGTCCCAACTTCTTAGCCAATTTTCATCAAGTTCCAATTTGATTTAGCCAAAGTTGTCAACATAAAAGTTGTAGACAATGTTTCAAGCTTTCAAAAACATCCAAGAGCATGAATTTATCATACTTGAGCTAGGAGATTCAAAGGCATGAAGTTGGGCATCCATTCTTGAATTACAAGTCATTTTGGTGAAGAACGCATAATCCAATCTGCATGATATGCTGCATAATCTTGCTTTGCAGGCCTTCTAACTTGAAAATTTCACCATAACTTAATGTTTATACAAATTTTTGAGCTATGGTCCATTTTATTTAAGCATTGTCCAAAGCATGATTCCATTAATGGCACAAAATGTCAATGCATTGAGCTTTGTAATGGTTATATTTGATTACAAGAAAGATCAAAAGCATGGAGAAAACCATCTGCATCCAACAACTTCAGAACATGCTTGTACTTGAAACATTGAAACTATGAAAATTCATCCAACTTGGTTTTTCACTTTTAACCAAACCATAGAGGCTATCTTGCAAATCTGATTACTTCAACCTCCCAAACCTCTTGCCTATAAATAAAGAGATAAATTGTAAGATAAAGGAGGAGGTGAACAAACCCTAAAAAAACCCTTTACTCTCAAAAAACTAGAATTGTCCACAAAACCTCCACTCTTGAGCTTTGAAGTCCAAATCTTTGAATCACTCAAACCTTGTAAGTTTGGCCCAAACAAATCATCCAAATACTTTACATATATCATATAGAAGTTGTTTAAACACAAGAATAACTTATGTAACATCATTATCACCATCTTCTAAATTCAAAAACTATGCCTTTCAAGTTGACTTGGTTGGAGAGATTCAAACACTTTCAGCATAAAGAAAGGATAGGAACAACTTCAGGGAGGTCCAAGAAAGCTTAATCAATCATCACAATGGACCTGGAAGCATCCATATGGGTTCCAAGTTTCCACTTCAAGAGGTAATTTTTCTCAAACTATGATATTCTTATCCATGACGAATCAGGGCATAAGAGTGCAAACATTCAAAATTTTCAAAAGAATACTTCAAGAGCCCTGACACGGGCGGCCGTGTCACAGGACACAGGTCATGTCGGGCTGGAAACTTAGCAAAAAGGCAGGACAAGGGGCTCACACGGATGCCTGTGTCATGCGACACGGCTCGTGTTAATTCAACTAGGACAAGGAAAATGCACAAGGTGGCAGGGTAGATGTTAACACTGGTGCCTGTGTCTGGTGACACGGCCTGTGTCAGCCTAGGCATTAGAAATCGTGATTTTTGAGATTTTTTATAAAATTTTAGATCATTAAGGGTACATTGGACATTTTACATTGTTGGGAGATGACCTAACACCATAAAACTTTTTCTAAACAAAACACCAAAAATATTTTCTAAATACTTAGAATTCTTTAGATTTTTTAATTTAATTTTCATAAAATTGATTAATTCAATCACACCTTATTTCATTTTTAAACTTTAAATTGAACTAAATTTAGGTATAACATTTTATTTCACATTTAAAATTTTCTCTTCTAAAAAAAGAAACAACAAAATATTTCTTTTTAACACTTGGAAATATTTTACGGTTTATCAAAACATTTTTTCCCTTTCCACCACCTTTGCGCATTTATTTTTCGCATTAATTATGTAATTGCTTATTGATTGTAATAGCTTAATTAGGGTTTATAGCTTTCCTCCCCATTCACAAGTTTGTACCCCCTATTCCCAAAGTGTTGTAATAGCGTAGGACATTTAAATTCTGTAATTTATCGCTTTCCTTATTATTGTTAGTAATTAGGGTTTGTATGGCTATATTTAAAACCAACATTAGACAAATTTAATTCAAGATAAAAATATTTGAATCAAACACACTTTTCATACATACACCTCTAGAGTAACCACACTTGTTGCTTCAGATAAAAATAGTCATGTCCCTCGAACGTGGGATGTTTTAGAAAACACCCTCAATTATGAGATCACACCCTCGAGTATCCTTCAATGCTGCCTTCGGTAAATGATCTCAGTCCCTTACGACAATTGCTAAAAACATCTTATAAGTTGCCTTCTATGACTGTACAATGACCCACGCATGTCCCTCTCATCCAATGATATGGCTCACTACCAATTAATGGTAGATAAGCACTATCTAAAGGAGGAGGAAAATAACAAAGACTTTTTTAGTAGGTAGATTGCTCGTAATTTCTTGGTCACAAACAAAACCATTTCCACACTTCACACTTTCAAAACATATTTCAAAACAAACATTTTATATACATTCTCAATGATACAAGAATCATTACAAAATTGCCTTACGTTGGCATATTTCAAACATCTCTCCAAACATTCCCTTTCAAAAAATATTTTCAAAACCAACACTTTGTATACATTCTCAACGATACGAGAATCATTGGAAAGTTTTCCAAACTTAGGCGTTTTCAAAATATTTTCAAACTTATACAAAATAATTTCAAAGTGATCAAGCAATTAAGACCCCGTAGATAACTACAGATGAAAAGGGTGCTAAAACCTGCCCTTCTCATAACCTACCCCCCAAAATCCAGAAAATTCTCAAAAGGTCTTTTCTGGTCTTTTCACCCTTTTCTTTATTAGATAAAAGAAAAGCCGGTGGCGACTCTTGCTATCCGCAACAATTGCCATAAAACGCAAAACACTCAAGTCAGTTCTCCCACCGTATCACACATGATATGTTAAATGACCTAATGGAAATGTAATGCATATGAGTAGAATGAAATTCATAAGTCAGATGACTTGATAAGGGTAGAAGAAATTTGGGGTATGACAATAGCAGGAAAAAACTTAATGGAAATCCGTGCTTTTCACATTGCCATTTTGTACTTTTTTTTTGCTTTATTTTTACAATTATCTCTTTTAGGAATTGCTTCCTAATGTAAATGCTTATTTACAGGCCAATTTAAATCAACAAAATTTCTTTTCATCCAAAAACCTTTCCTCTTTGTTTTTACTTTTACTGCTTTGTTTGCAAAAACGCCTGACACTTTTGATAAGCATTGCATTTAAAAATTTTGAGGTTCACAAAACATGATTAAAAAATTTGAAATTGATTGAGATTTTGAGTGTCCTGGGAAATAAACATGGTGGTCAATACTTTACTTGGGGCATAAGTTTTGAGTTGTAGGTCACATTGACCAAATTGTAGGACCTACAATTCAAAACTTATGCCCAGTATTACCTGCAATTCAAAACTTGAAACATCGAGTTCATTACAAGTATAAGGTTTTCTATTTTATTTTCCCCGACAAGGTATCATAAGTTTTTCTTCTCCCAAGTGTAATACCCTAAATTTGTCCTACCCTTTACTTTTATCTGGCTTATGCATTGTTGCACTTTTCTCATGTACATAACTCTATTAGGTCATCTAACACATCATTCATTCATTAATCAATAAAACGTGGCATGTGATCAAAGATTTCGAAGAATTAGGGTTTCTCTTTGGTTTTGAGGCTCTCTTCTATGTTCAAGGGTAATTCAAGTTGTTTCTTCAACGATCAAGGTTTAGAGTTGGGGTTATATTCATTAAGCTACAAGGTTCTCCGTCCTCATCAAATATTCTCAAGATCAAGTGCTTAGGGTTTTTGTCAATGTTTCACCTAAGAAAGCTTCGAGTTAGGATTTTGGCTCTTCTTTGCATCTCCATTCATTTCCTAATCAACTTGTATTCAAGGCATGAGGTTATGGTTGTATCTTCATCAAAGTGTTTTGTCAAAGGCATTACATTTTGTATTAATATCACCTTTCATCTATCAAGAGGTACGAATGTTGCTTAAGCTATATGACATAATCCTTGGTTCTTGTAAGAGAAAAAAAGAATATGAGTATCATCGGAGGATATCACCCATAGATTCATTCGATCTTATGCAAGATCCATCAATGTTGATTCATGGTCATTCAATTCCATTCAAGATCACTATGAAAATGCATCATTCATCAAACTTTAATCCAAGTTCTTATTCAATTTTGTTTGAAGTACAAGTTAGAAATCACTATTTACATTCACTTAAACCTTGCAAGATTATACCACTGCCTTTACATAAACCATTACCATTACAAGCTAACCTCATGTCACAAACATTACAACTCAAAAATAATTACAAAAAAGAAGTTCTTATATCTATCCTAAAGCCTATCTCTTCATACTTCAAAGTCTTCCATGATAAGCCTCCATGTTTCAAACTCTTTGTCGTCTTCTATAATTTCGTTCTCTTCAAGTTCTGAAATGAGCCAAAAGAGTACTCGACCATTCCATTATGTTCCTCGCTAACACGCAACTCCATGCTTAAAAATCACAACTGAATCTACATAAAACCAAGCATACCATGTCAGTTTTAGCATAAGCAGCATTCCAAACATTCACACATATATCATCCAAAACAACATGAAAGCAATATGGCTATTTGAATTCTCAGCACATATGATCAAATACAGTCCGGTTATGCAACAAGTTTCAAGACATTCTCAAGCATTCGAGCAAGATCAAGGCTAAATCAGCATGTTTATTCACACACAGGAAGTTAAACTCAGACATGGGCATTCAATAATGGCACATTCAAAATTCGAAAATAGAAAATCAAGTAACAATGCAAATTTTCTAAAAAGGGCCAGAATACATACATATTGCAACTCAACTGTTAATTATCCTATCAATGCAAACTCAAGCCAGGAACGGATGCAGGCCAAAACAGCTCAGCAAATAATTAATAGAACTTCCTCCAATTTCCTAACTAACTAACATTCCCTAACAATTACAGCAGTCCAAAACAAATTCCTAACCAAAAAATCCAGCATAACCAAAATTCCAACTAACCTGTAACTAACTACTCTGCATCCCCAACTAACTTCTAGCCTCACCAACAAACATCCCTGCAAACAGAAATAACAGAATCACCGAAACTAAATAACTTCAATTTCCTAACTTCTTAATTGTCAAAAACAGAAAATAGCTAAGCTCTCTCATTATTCATAACAGAACCCAAAACCTGTCCACAACCTTCTAACTGTTTAACACAAAAGCAAGATAACATAATTCATGACAGTTTCTTTTTTATAACCAATTCATAACAGATTTCCCAACCAACTAGCCTATAGTCAAAACAAAATTCTAAGCCCCTAGCCACCTATAACTACCCTTAACCAATTTCTAACTGTCAAAAACAAGCTGTAACAAACTTCCAACTAACAGAAGGAAAAAAATAGAATAACAGAAAGGAAGAGGAGAGAGGATGCACGAGGCTTTTATAACAAAAAACTCACCATATTATTCACCATTCTCCATTCTCTTGGGAGAATCACCACAATCTTCAACAAAATCTCTCTTCTCCTCGCATCTTCATATTCATCATTCTTCATTTTCTAGGAAGAATCACAAAAAATCACCACAAGACTCTCTCTACATTCTTCAACCTTCTCTCTGCTCCTCTCACCTTTATTCTTCACGTCTGCAGAAGAATCACAACCAAGAAACTCCAGCAAAATATCTCTTAACTCTCTCTGTATTCACGCTCCATTTTCTACCATCACATCTTCAACCTTCCTCAGTCATCGTCATCCTCTGAACCAATCTTCAAACATCTTATGCACATCAATCTACTACACATCATTCAACCTCTTTATTGCTTTATCATCTCTGCATATTCAATCTTCTGCATCTTCATATTCTCGGAACCGCTTCAAGCTGTAAAGCAGCACCATCCTCAACAACAAATCCACACCTTCAATCTTCACCTAATTCAAGCAACCAAAATCGCATCTACACAACTCAGAAAGTGCAGATAGAAAGAGAAGAAGTAGAATGAAGAATGGAAAACATATGCGTACCTAAATCGTTCTTCTCTAGTTTTCTCTTCGATTTCATCAAAGCTGGAAGAACCACTGAAGTTCTCCGTTGAGATGTTATTGGTGCATCAGAGAAATATCGGAAACCAAGCGGACAACATGAGATGGATATTGAAGCAATCTGAAGGATGAGTTGAAAGCGGGTGTATAGAAGAGGAACGGCTGAGACGAGACGGAAGATCGCTGAGACGATGTCGAGGCGGATGAGATTGAACCGAAAAACTGAATCGGAGGAGGTTGAACCGCAGACTCAAATCAGATCGCCGATGATGACACCGCATCATTGAGAGTTAAGGCGAGAGTGGAAGAGAATCAAGGTTGAATAGGCACAAGCTGAAACCCTAACCCTTTCCAAATGCATAATTTCATAATTTTTTTAATTGTTCTTAATTTTTTTTATTCAATATTAACAAATCATTGCTGAAATATTTGATGGGCTTGTGTTGCTGCAAATTGAACCGAGGCCCATTGGATTCGTGTGTTTTTGTTTAGACAGAATAAAGCAAACAAAATTTGGCAGTTATTATTGGACTTTGTTTGGGCCTGTATCATATTTTTTGCAGCTTGAAAGCACGCAACAAAAATATCTTCATGGATCACTTCTGCATATAGGCCTAGCACCTTACTTCAACAAACCTCCTAACTTCAGTTTTCACCCCCCCTGAGCTCACATTTTAATATTAAAGATTTAGAAACTTTTTAGTTTTTTTTTATATTTTTTTTATGATAAAAACAATAATAAATAGTAGAATATTTTAAAAAAATTTAGGTTCTCTTTAGAATTTTCTATTATTTTTATGTTTAACAATCATTTTCATTATCATTTTTAGCTAAGATTTTGTGATAGAATATTGGTGTAACTTTCGCAATGGGGAATGGTTGGAGATTAATTTTTCGATCAATTGTGTGAGACAACTATGGTAGAGTTTTCTTACCGCTTGCGTGGTTTTGAAGAGGCAACGGACCTTCTCCGATTGGTATCATCGTAACTTAATTTTATTCCTTGTTTCCGCGCTTTACTATATTTCTTTACCATTTATCTAGATATCATAAGTATGAATTTACTGCTTTCTGATGCCATGAGAAGTAGGAATAGAGATGTATGACGGGGGTCTCTGTGGCTGATTATGTCACGAACCCCTCTGGTTTATTTAAAGACCCGTTTAGGGAAATTTCGCATTGTGTGGATTCTGTTTGCTACTTGTGTGTGGTTTGTTTAAAACCCTACCTTTGTGTAGGTATTCTGCATGTGTGTTTATATTTGTGGCCGCGTTATTCACGCATCCCTTATTGAAGTCATCAAAAGGAGGTGACCGGGGAGGGTTAGCAATCAACCCCTACAATTTCGTCTGTGCCATCCTTAGCTCGTGACGCATCATGAAGCTTTGGAGTTGTGCCAGCTCTTGTGTATCGAGTCGTCAAGTGGGTAAGAGTTCCACAATTGAACCCCCACTCTTTTTCAGGAGTTCGCATTAGTCGATGCTGATACTCTATGATTCTTCATATTGCCTTATGTCTCCTACATCGATCTCCTATATCTTGGTTAGATGTTCAGTCGCTTTGAACATCACATTTTGTTTTACATCTCACTCCTTCTTGTTTGTCTCGGGTGATACGCTCCCCTTGGCTAAAGCATTTCTCTTCTTTTCCTTACTCTTTTATGTGTGTGCTTCTTCGAGCTTGTTTTCTTTATCCTTGTACATACCATGTTCCCTTAGGATGCGCTTGCTCCGTTCAGATGCAAGTTAGACCATAGGTTGCAAACCATGCATGCTAACATTAGGTAGAGATCTCCCTTTCATCCTTGATGTAGGGACACCATTGTATGATAACATTAGATTTAGATATAGGCTAGTCTCCCTTAGACTCTTTTCTTCCCCTTTTGCATATGCATTTAAAACTAAAACTTCCTTTTTAGCAAATCATAAATCATGCTAATAACACTTAAACCCTTTTTCAAGGTAATAAAAATAGAAACCAATTCAAACCTTTTTGTGTGCCCAAGCACCTTTTCTCTAAAAACCCTTTTCATGTAAGGACATGATTATTTTATTTCTGTGTCAACGCATAAGTCTCCAAAGGTCGAGTTCTGGAAGAAGGCGAAATTAATGTCATCCATAAAAAACACAAAATAAACAAAACCATGTGAGCCAAACTACGGTAGCTCTAATTCCTCAAAAAGGATACGTAGGCATTGGGGTAGGGCCCAAGCGAGTACAACTTTATTTTCCCTAAATTATTTTCCCCTTTCTTTTGCATGCATTCTTTAGCAGTAGTAAACATAAAGCATAGATCAAAACACACCCATAAGGTAGACAACAAGAGTGGATACCGTAGAGTACTACAGGTGTGTGGGGTGCTAATACCTTCCCCTTGCGTAACAGACTCCCTTACTCGATCTCTCGGTCACAAGACCGTGACTTCTCCCTTCTCAGGATTTATTGATGTTTACCTTTTGTGATCGGTGGATCTGGAACTGACTGTTTTAAAGCTGGTTCGCGAAATGTCGCGGAAGCAAGAGTCGCCACCGTCTTTTATTTTCTCCAAATGGAAAGGACAAAAGCACAGAAAAATTCCTTAAAAGAGATTGCTCTCGGTTCGGGAGGTAGGTTATAGAAAGGGAAGGTGTTAGCACCCTTTCTATCCATGGTTATCCATGGGCTCTTAGATACTTGCTCAATGTGTTTTCAAAATGTTTGCTTGCTTTTCAATGTGGGTTTCAAAAATATTCTTTGAAAAGTTTCAGTTCAACTCGTACGTCAGAGTGTTTGAGAAGTTTGTTTTTGAAAGTTTTTTGAAAGTGTGTTGGTGTGAAAAGTATTTTGATTTGTTTGAAATTAGAGCAAGTATCCTTGAGAACCTACCTACCCTAAGGAATTCGTCTGTGTAAATGTCCTTTAAAGTAGTGCCATCCCACCATTGAGAGGTAGGTAGCACCACCGTCGGAGGTGTTCGGGTCAATTCGAGTTTTAGGGACATGGTGATCACCGGAGCAATGGGAAGACACCTTAGAAGCTACCCTCATGCCAGGTTCCCGGATCATGAGGACTTACTAAGACGTCTTCTACTCGACGACCACCTTTCGAAAGGCAACAGTGAGGCGTACCCTAGGGGTGGTGTGTGCGAATTGTGTGTCATGTTTCAATTATTTGTCTTGTCATGTTTGTTGTGTTCTACGCTTGATTTTAATTAGGGCCATTCATTCTTGCATGCATATTTAACAGTTATAAAGTTTGCGAAAAATAAATCTAAGGCTATTACAAATGGCGCGGGTCCACATCGCCAAAATTAAACCGGACCCGATTTGACTGAAAAATAAATAAAGCGAATAAAAGTGCGAGAAATAAAATTATTACAAGGCTTTGGGACATGTACATAATTATAATAAGCGACAAAGTAAAATACGCGAAACAAAATAATTAAAAACAATGGGCGTTGGACCCTTCTTGCAAAAAGATTAAATTTAATAAGGAAAAAAAATAAATGTTTTTGGTATTTTGTGTTTTTTAGATTTAAAAGAAAAAGAAAAATCAATTAAAATTAAAATGAAATACTAAACCCTAATTCTAATGTTTTTTAAGTTTATTGTGAAAATATTGAATTTTTGACCTAATTAAAATCTAAGTTAATTTACATGCAAGATTTAATTTATGAAAATAAATAATAATAATATTATGGTAAAAAAGGAAAAAAAATCAAAAGGAGTGGAAATTATTAATTAACCTAATTCTAATTATTTTTATTTAATATGAAAGGAATTAAAATTGCAAAATCCTAATTAAACTAAATTTATTTACATACATTTATTCATAAAAATAATTAACATAAATAAATATTATATTTTTTTGCCTTTTCTGAATTTATGATGTTTTTCATATTTTTTTGTAAAAATAATTAATTAATGAAAACAAATAAGAAAAATAAAATAACATAGCCATTGAGAAAATAAAAATATAAAAAGGAAAAGCAAACCAGGGGGGGTAGCCCCAAATTGGAGGTGTTGATCCAAAGGTTCTGGCCCATTAAAGCTTTGATCCATTGACTTTGCCAGTTTGCATGCTAGCGCGTTGACTTGGATTCATGGTACACCCTACCTCTGAGCCCTTTGATGGACCTGCCAGGACGCGTGGCTGCTTGGATTGTGATGGTACATGGTGAACCATAGCATTGTGCCTGCATAGGAATGAGTATGGAAAAATAATAGCGAAATTATTCAGACCTGGGGTTCGAACCCAGGTCTTTGGACATCAATGCGTTGATAGCGTGCCAGCTGAGCCACCTTGCCAATTTGATATATAATTAACAAATAAATATAATAAGAACAATCAAGAGTTAGTGCTCCAAAACGCGCGCGATTTCAAAATGGCCAATGACTGATGGACACGAAACCATCTTCTTCCTCACCCTGTAAAACAAAACACTATGGCAACAGTTTTCGTAGCGTTGTGTTAGAGGGTCTTTGGAAAAATAGCGATTAGCGCTACGTGACTCATAAATTAATCGCGAGTATATCACTCTCTTCGTCCAGATGCGTGGAATGTAGTGGTGTGACTTTCATGGGCTAATTGTTCTTGGTCTGAAAACCCCTAATTTAAAAAACCTGCAACCCTAGAAATTGGTTATGGCAAAATCGCATACGATGCATGATTATTCAATTAAATACCATGGTCAGCTTTAGAACTTCATAAGGAACAAGAATCAACAAATAAAAAGTGCAAAGGATGCTTAAAAAATGATGCACGATTTCAACAATTTTTCTTTACAGTTTGAGTTGTAGCTACCACTTCTTTGCGTTTTGATTGATGTTAGGGATTGGCACACGTTCAGAGTTTGTCCAGGAAGCTATTAGAAAAAGAATTAAGGCTTAAAACTCTAATTTTGACTGTATGGGAGACTGTTGCACTGCACAACCCTTGGGGAATTTTGTAGCTTGGCTTGGCAATTTCTTGAGGAATATGGGAGGGCAAATTTTGGGGTATAACAGTTGCCCCTGTTCAATCTTCTTAGACCTGAGGATGCAGATTGGCTGACGTGCCTTTCGTAATCCGAGGGTAAAAGATGATTGGACACTAGAGTGCCCGGAAATTTGCGCTCACATGTTAGCAATGATGGGGGAATGGGCTTATAGATGC